CACGCGGCATGTCCTGGTTGGCCGGGGCTGCTGACCAGGCCGCTGACGTGGCTGCTGACGTGGGTGCTGATGTGGCACAACTTTTATAAATTGCGTTTTGACTCCCGGTTTCCGATTTTCTTTTCAAAAACACCCAAGAATCTAAATTTTCACCCCTTTTTCCCAAAATCAATTTCAATTAAATCCAAATAATATTTTTACCTAATTTTATCATTATTATTATTTTTATTTTCATTAAATTAAATCAAATTAAATTAATTAAAAATCTAAAAAATTCAAATAAATAAAAATAAAAATAGTAAGATAAAAATTAAATTACTTGGGTGTTACACCCTTACTTATATATTTGTTTGAAGATTATTTATATTATATTATAATAATTAAAATATATATTATTTTTGTTCCAAGAAAAAATTGTCTATTCTACTTGTATTGTATATACTCGTCAAAAAAATTGTATCATGTGCATTTTTATTTCAAATACTACTATAGTATCGTTATAAGGTCATATATTTTATCATGACAGGTGCTAACAAATTAAATAAGCTCAAGTTTCAATAATAAAATATCAAATTATACCATAAAAATACGCATTAAAGTGATTTCACACCTACCGTGTGGCACCCTAATTTCTTCGTGCTTATATAATGATACCAACTGAAACGACCCAGAACTGAAAAGGAGGTAAACACTTGAATTGAATGCGAAAGCGAAACAATAGAGTTTAAGGTTTACATTCCTTACACGATAATTTAGAATGCGCAATAGGGATATGAGAATATCCATTCTAAAAGAACAAACAAAAATTAAAGAAATAAACGAAAAGTAAACAACTGAGCATCTTAGGACGACATTCACTAGCTTTTGAATGAGTTCGGGTGGTGAACTATCCACAAACCTTTTGTTGATCGGGATTTGGGTCTTGGTCCTCTTGATCTGAAATAATTATTGAAGATGTGAACTACACTCGCTCAGTAAGAATATTACACTACTCACCGATACAGAAAATGAAGGTTGGTAAAAATCATAAAAATAACCAATAGAGCTTTTAATTTAAGTAAATTCATTTATCATAAACAAAACTATTTATTCAATATTTACCGTTACGAGATTTTCAAAACCGATCTATAAAGACAATAATTCAAATAACATTCAAATCTCATTTTCAAGTAAGTAAGAATAACAAACTTCCATTTTTATTTGTCTACTAGTATCCATGGGGGTTTATAGGGATATCTCACTATACATGAACTATTATTCAATATTGTCAACTAATCAGCTATCTTTATACCCCGTCCGGTATGAGTGCCAAAAATATCAATTCTCGATACCCTATCTGGTATGAAGTGACGTTCACGGTAAGGTTCCCTATGTACCCGATCTGTCCATCATCTCCTAAGATATCCAGTAAGACTACCATTTATTCATTCACTTAAACAATCAATTTTTCCTTTACATTTAATTTTCAGTTTTACAATTTAACTATAAATCAACGCAAGACAAATAATACAAGCATCAAGAAAATACAACTGAATCATTTTACCAATTTCAGTATATTATCATGCATTTAAAGCTGTAAAATCAAACAATCGGTTAAATAAGACAACAATAATAAATAATCAGTTCCGCCTCCATTAGTAACCTATAATTAATTCTTGAAGTTTTTTAAATTATGCAAAATGCCGTATTATTGATAATTAGACTTCAATTCCATAACAGGGAATAAAGTGATAGATTCTTACCCGAATCATTGTCCGAAATACTGAACTTTTTACTGCGCCTACAGGCGGTCCCTGAGTTTTTTGATTTTCCTATAGAGGTATAAACACGGTTCACGTATCTAAAAATCTAAAATCGGTGTTAAAAATCTTTTTTGGTTAATTTTAAAATTTCGGCATGGCTGCACCACCGTGCTCCGGCAACGGCACTGCCGCATACGACAAAAATTTGCCTCAAACTGGTTGTTTTCGGTTAGTTTTGCTCAGTTTCGGCTGATTTTATACCCATCCCTGCAAGAAAATATGTTATGGGGTCTCGGTTGGTCGAAAAAAGTCAAAAAATAAAAACTTACCGGCGATGAAATTTTCCAGTGCGGCAGCTCTGCGGGCTCACCTTCGCAACTGAATTTTTTCTTCAGTCAACGTGTAGAAAACAGAATGGTAAACACAATGATGGAAAAGTGGCACGAAATGAGAAACGGGAAGGGGCTCATCGGAGGCGATTTTTTGTTTTTTTCGCGGTAGTGCTACTGGGTTTTATTCGCGGTTTTATGCTCATCCACCATTCCTTTTGCTCCGATTTGGCCGTGGAGGTGTTCAAAATCAAATTCTGAGCGAATAGGAGAATTTTTACCTTTTTTGGCGATCGGAGGTGGCTCCGGCGTGGCCTCGAGCGACAGTCGGCTCATTTCTCTTGCGACTGTTTCTTCTTATCCGGTGGGGGGCTGGCAACTAGAGTTTGGGTTCGGTATAAAGTGAGATATTTATACTCATCTCCCTTAAATCTTGACCGTTTATCTCGTTTGATCTCGACCATCCGATCGCGTTTAAAGAGAAAATAAATCTGAATCGTTCATTGTAATTTGATCTTGACCGTACGATGGTATTTAAAGAAGGAACGAATATGAACCATTCATCGCATTTAATCACGACCGTCTAATTGCGCATGAGGAGGGAACGGATACAGACCGTCCATGCGTGCGAGAACGCGTCTGAATCGTCCGATCGCAGACACGCAGATTGCCAGCGTGGCCTCCTGCGTGGCATCGAGTCAGCCTGTCTTGCCACGCAACGTGCTCCGGTTTATTGGAGCTGCTGATTGGGTAGTCTTACGTGACGCATTTATCCTTAATTGTATTTTAACTTTTAATTTTTTATTTTTTTTTCAAAAATACTTCAGAACCCAAATTTTCATTCATTTTTTCTAAAATTATTTTCAATTTCATTATCCAACTATTTTTTTCTAATTTTACATTAAACAAAAATTTATAAATTTAAAAATTATATATATTTTTTAATTTTAAAATTAATACCGCACCAAATTTTGAGCTCGGATATTATAGATACTATGTGGCACCCTAATTTCTTCACCCTAATTTCTTCACCCTAATTTCTTCATGCTTATATAATGAACCTTGCTCACCTGATTTGTTTCACACATCCAATTACTTAAAACATATTCATAATATATCCTGATCTCGAAGGATGGAGGAATGCAGAAAGCTAGAAGCTGAAGAAGAAGCTCAAGCAGGAGTTGATATATGGAAATATGCGTTCGGGTTTGTCGACATGGCAGTCGTGAAATGTGCCATCGAGCTTGGAATACCCGACACGCTAGTTAACCAGGACAAACCCATGACCCTTTCAGAGATCTCCGCCGCCCTCCGGTGCTCACCACCCCAACTCTACCGCATCATGAGGTACTTGGTGCATCGAAAGATAGTCAAAGAAGTAGCATCCACCGCCACTGATGGCTCAATAGGCTACATATCAACCCCTCTTTCCCGTCGAATGACCAGTCATGGAGATGGCACCTTGGCTCCCCTCATCCTGCTTGAAAGCAGCCCGGTGATGCTCGCACCGTGGCTGAATCTAAGCGCACGTGTTTTGCTGGAAGGAGAGAATACGCGTTCCCCTTTTGAGAGAGCGAATGATGAGGAGATATGGCAGTATGCTGCGAAGAATCCAGGACATAGTGAGCTGATAAATGAGGCTATGGCGTGTGATGCGAGGTTGGTGGTTCCGGCGATCGTGAAGGGATGTCCAGAGGTGTTTGAGGGAGTGGAGAATGTGGTGGATGTTGGAGGCGGCAACGGGACTGCTTTGGGATTGTTGGTAAAGGCTTTTCCTTGGGTTAAAGGCATAAACTTTGATCTTCCTCATGTTGTGTCTGTCGCAAATAAGTATGATGGTGTTGAGAATGTAGGAGGTGATATGTTCAAAAGTGTTCCAAAAGCTGACGCTGCTTTCACTATGGTAAAATTAATTAATATATATATATATGTATTCCCATTTAAAATAAGTTTAAATTAACAATGATGGTCGATTTTGCAGTGGGTGTTGCATGATTGGAACGACGAGTATTGCATCAGAATCTTGGAGAAATGCAAAGAAGCAATTAGAGGTGAGGAGAAATGTGGGAAGATGATAATAGTTGACGCAGTGGTTGAGGAGAAGAAAGATGAAGAAGTTGAGTTGGTGAGGTTGATGTTGGACATGGTGATGGTGGCTCATACTAACAATGGTAAAGAAAGGACATTGAAGGAATGGGAGTATGTCCTGACTGAAGCTGGATTCAGCAGCTTCAAAGTGAAACATATAGAAGCTGTTCAGTCTGTGATTGAAGCTTATCCTTGATATATTAGTTTATACAAATCTATCCAAGTTGAGATCCGTGCCTTTGATTTTCTCGTCTTGTCTTGTAGGGGATGCCGTTCCAACGTGAGGAGTGCATATTGCCTTTTTTGGAATAATTTCTGCTATGTTTTATATTCTTCCTTATTTGTACTTTGTTTTTCTAAATCAATCGTGGTTTGTATTAGATGTTTTTCTAAAAAAGTGTTTGTCTTCTTTGTGTGCTATTGTTGAATTATTGTATTTTTATTTAAATAAATTATATATTAATTACCCAATGCTTCTTTTTTTATTCATGTCAATAAACATTTCAATATTAACGTTTGTATATGTAGAAATATATTCATATATGCATATATTAAAGAAATATATTTACAAAGAGCATCTAGTAGTCTTTATATTAATTAATTAATTAATTATTTTATTTTTATTTTTAGAACATCTATGTTAATATATTTCTATCTATTAAATATTACTAATACCCGTGTAACTATTGCTAATTAATTAAATATTTATTTGATGTGTAAAAACTAATTTAATTATTTTTAATAAAAAATAAAAAAATTCAAAATTCAAAACATAAAATAAAAAAGCGTACTCCTCATCCCTCCCATGGGCAACATAAGCATAAATTTTTAAATTTGATTTATATTATATTTTTTATTAAAAATTCAATTATTTTTTACATGATAATATTTGATATAAATATTTACTCAATTAAAAATAACTAGATATTAATTTATTATCAAGTAACAAATCTATTATTAGTATTATTAATATTTAACGCTAAAAATAAATAAAAAAAATTAATATAAAAATCAATACAAATATTTAAAAATAATAAAAAAATCAATTTAATAAATTTTTTTTTTCTTTTTTTAATAAAAAAGCAATCAAATTTAGTTGGGTTTGACTGTAAAGTAAGCTTAGACTTCAGATGCTTTTGATAGTTCTAGTTACAAATATACTTTAACACACAACACTAAATCGATTCTAAACAAACAAAATCTAACATGAAGTTATATCCCATAATCCAAATAGAATCCGCACATCTAATATAGTTGTAGTTCTAGAGTTGTGTTTGATACTATTTCTAAAATAAAAACTTCCAACACAAACTTGATTCCTTCAGAAACTTCGAAAGCCACCTGTAAACTACACATTTTACCATAATATTGGTACACAAGGTCTTATACATTGTATAATACACAATCAACCCAAATTTATAATCAAAATTTGATTACATTATTTGGAAATTGCACCCAAAAAAAAAAAATCCTACTTTCTGAGAAAGTCAGTGACTTCATTAATTGAAATCAGCAGATCTGAAGCGAAAAATATGGAGACCCTACAGTCAGAATTATTGCCTGATATATAATAATGATGCACTTGCACACATGGGGTTCCCCACTTTTTTGCTTGTACTAAGTCTGTCGGGTCCTCTCATTGTACTTCAAAAATTTTCCAACGGGGAGTTCCAACTCTGGATTCTCTTCACTTGTTATATTACCTTGATTACCATTTTTAACTTTTTTATCTACTAAATTTATAGTTTTATTCTTCTACACTCTACTAACTTTGAAATAAACACACACTAATGTAACTCCAGTGATTTAACTTTTCTTCAAGCCAGTGTCAAACAAAAACATAAGGAAAAACTCAATTTCCTTCATCCTATATTGCAACAACAAACGTGAAGTTACAAATTAACACCAGTTAATTTGACAATGGCATCTGCTACCAAGATCAGCTTACCAGCTAACTGAGTATAGATTAGTCAAGTCCTAACTTATAAACTAATCCAAGTATTCGAAAAAAAAATTTCTTGAGCAGGGTAGTTGTTTTCCTCATCTGGACTGGAGAAAACAAGAGTGTGCAACTCCTCTTCCATATGGCTATATACACATAATTTACTACAGATAAGAATTCTATTTTACTTTCTGAGAAGAAGTTTTGTGCTGGTGGCGTCAATTGGATTCTTCACTCGCAGAAGCACATTTGCATCTTCCAACTGTATAAGGCAACCATTTTGAGTATATAACCCCATGAACATAGGAAACAAGGATGATCTTTCCCCTTCCTAGAGATAGTTGACCATCGGATTTGATCATGCAAAATAGTGCAGAGCATATCAAATTCTCTTCTCTCTCCGTCACTACATAGAAGTTTTGGATCTGTGCTGTTCTTTCTCAATGGCAGACCTTAGCTTCTCCACTTCAATCAGAAGAGAAGAATTTCTATCACAAGCATCCTTTAATATATTGAATCTCTGTTCTATATCACTCTTCTGCAGTAACAAGTTTTCCTTTTGCCCATTTGGAGATGTAGATGGCTTGTTATATTGGACAAGAGCCAACATCATTCCCTGTAATTATAATTATTTCCATTAGAAAAAACAATCAAAACAGATTATTCATGAGGGAAGCAGGGGAAGGAGAAAAGTTCAGCACATTAAATACTAAAATGAAAATGCTAATGCAGTAAAAGAAATCTTCTTTTGTGCATTAATCCTGTAGAGAATACAGTTTCTTAAACATTCCATGTGAGTATGACCTAACTGTCAGAATGCAATCAAAAGACTTATCTGAATACAAGTGGGGTGATGAGAATAACCAGTCAGCCATAAAGAGTCTCAAATATCTCAATAATTATGCATAATACTGCCAACATTTAATATTTTTTTATTATAATGTAATTTAAGCCAAGTTAACCATACAGATGCTCAAGATTTTCTAAAATGGGATTGTAATCTTATATGTGCAATAGAGAGTTTGGATACCTCATGGTTCTGCTTCTGAGAGTAATCTCGCAGTAGAGTCTTCACAAGCTTATTTTGCAGGGATAAGTCATCGCTGGCACCAGAGAGGAAAATGAAGGATGAAACATGATGCAGAACCAGTGTAAATGCTGCTGATCCTCGAATAACAGCTCGGTCAAGAGCACCAGAAATCCATGATTTCACATAAGCCTCTAAAATATCTATATTATCCTGCAACAGAAGCAATTGATTTACAAATTATCCCTATCATTATTATTAGTAGTAGAAGTTAGTGTTTATAGAGAATTTGCATGTGATAAAGAAAGCAACAGGTCACCCAGATATGCAAACAGAAAAAGATGCACTCGGAAAGATTGCACTATGGCTTTCAAAAGATTTGGGACTGAAGAAAATTGAGAGAAAAAAAATATTCTTCCTCCTCTTGATGAATAATTTACAGATATATATACAAGTTTACTACCCTAACAACCTAACAAATTCTAGAAAAAACCTAACAAAATTCTGTTTCTAAGGACAAATTTATTGCAACAAATTTATTGGTGATTCCCTCCATTTACAACACATAACAGTTGTAAATAACCATTTTTAATCCTAATTTATTTTTTTAATTATTATATTTTCTACACTCCCCCTCAATCTAGTTTACGTATATGTTGAGTAAACCTAAATTAGATATTATGTCATCAAAGGTTTTCTTGGGAAGAGCTTTACTTAGAATATCTGCGATCTGTTGATTGGTTGAAATATGCATCAGAGTTATAATCCCATCTTCCAATTTTTCTCTAATGAAATGACGATCAATCTCCACATGTTTAGTTCTATCGTGATGTACTGGATTCTTGGCCATACTAATTGTTGATTGGTTGTCGCACCATACTTTCATAGGCATATTGTTGAGGGCTTTTAATTCTTCAAGTATTCTCTTCAACCATACACCTTCACAAATACCATGAGTGAGCGCTTTAAATTCAGATTCTGCATTATTGCGAGACACAACAGACTGTTTCTTGCTTCTCCAAGTAACCAGGTTACCCCAAACATAGGTACAATATCTTGATGTAGATCTCCTGTCGTTTATAGAACTTGCCCAATCCGCATCCGTGTAAATTTCAACACCCCTTCTGTCTGTTTTTTGAAAGAATAAACCTTATCCTGGAGTTTTCTTGAGATACCTCAGAATTTGATACACAGCACTCATGTGATCTTCAGTTGGCTGATGCATGAACTGACTTACTGCAAAACTGATGTCTTGTCTTGTGTGAACCAAGTAAATAAGTTTCCCAACAAGTCTTTGGTATCTCCCTTTGTCAACCATTTTATTACTGATTCTGGATCCAAATTTGATGACTGAGTCCATAGGGGTGTTAGCAGGCTTGCTTCCTAGCATCCCAGTCTCTTTTAGGAGATCAAGAATGTACTTTCGTTGAGAAACTGAAATCTCCCTTTTTGATCTAGCCACTTCCATACCGAGGAAGTACTTTAGTACTCCAAGATCTTTTATTTCAAATTCTTTGGCCAGAAATTCTTTAAATTTCTGAATCTCCTCAAGGTAATCTCCTGTGAGAATGATATCATCAACATATACAATCAAAATAACCTTTTTACTTGATATGCGATGTTTGACGAACAATGTATGGTCGGATTGACATTGTTCATATCCTTTATGTTTTACAGCTCTTGTGAATCTGTCAAACCATGCTCTTGGAGATTGTTTTAGGCCATAGAGTGATTTCTTCAATTTATACACTTTTTGAGAGTTGTCAGTTAATTCGAACCCTGGTGGTAAATTTATATACACTTCTTCCAAATCGCCATTAAGGAATGCATTCTTTACATCTAATTGATACAGTGGCCAGTCAAGGTTAGATGCAAGTGAGAGGAGTACCCGAATAGTATTGTGATTGGCAACTGGTGCAAACGTTTTCTGATAATCTACACCATATGATTGTGTATAGCCTTTGGCTACCAGGCGGGCCTTAAGCCTATTCACACTCCCATCTGGATTATATTTGGTTGTAAAAATCCATTTGTATCCCACTTGACGTTTTCCTGGAGGAAGATCAGTTAGTTCCCATGTCTCATTCTTTTCAAGTGCCCTGATCTCATCTAGGACAGCTAACTTCCATTTTGGAATTTCTAAGGCCTCATGTATTGTTCTGGGTTCAGGTGAACTGTTGTCTATCCTGCACACAAAAGCATGATGTTCCGATAATAATTTGTCCAATGAAACATAGTCATGTATAGGATGTTTGGTGCATGTTCGAGTGTCATTCCTCAAAGCAATAGGAATATTAGAATCAATGGAATCAAGAATTAGTATAGAGATTACGTTACCTGGATTAGTGGGGGATTCATGGCAGTGCTTGGATGATTCGGGTGCTTTTCCTTTGTTTCTTCTTGTATAGACATATAACTCACTCATTGCAGGTAATGTGCTTTCTATAACAGGTTTTGGTTCTGATTTCTTTTGTGAGGTTTCGGGTTCAATCTCCAGGGAAGGTTTTTCTGGTGATGGATTTTGTGGGTAGAGAGGTGGTACACAAACATCCCACAACTGATATTCCTGAGTAAATTTCTCCCCCTGAATATCAGTGGTGGGATAAAACGGTTGATTCTCAAAAAAGGTGACGTCCATGGTATTATAAAATCGGCGGATTTCCGGAACTAGGCATTTGTATCATTTTTGATTTGCTGAGTACCCAAAAAAAATACACTTTATTGCTCTTGGGTTTAATTTTCCACGAAGATACTTATAAATGTGGACATATGCTAAACACCCAAATACTTTAAGTGGCAAAGTGTTTAAGATGTAAGAATCAGGAAAGATTTTTGAGAGAATAGTGTATGGTGATTGAAACTGTAGAATACGGGAGAACATCCGATTAATCAAATAGGTAGCTGAAAGGACAGCCTCTCCCCAAAGATATTTTGGTACATGTGTGGTGAACATGAGAGATCTAGCAATCTCAAGAATGTCTGTTTTTTCTTTCGACTATGCCGTTTTGCTGTGGAGTATGAACACAGGAGATTTGATGGATAATGCCATGTTCAGTAAAGTATTTTTCAAAAGTATTTTCAAAATATTCACAAGTATTGTCGGATTTCAATATTTGGATGGTAGCATGAAATTAGGTTCGAATCATTGTATGAAATTTTTTAAATAGAGATCCCACTTCAGATTTTTCCTTTATGAGAAATACCCAAATAATTCTTGTATGATCATCAATAAAAGATACAAACCACCTAATTCCGGAAACATTGGAAACCCTGAAAGGCCCCCAAACATCACTGTAAATTATGCAAATGGTTTAGATAGTTTATATGGTAAACTATAGAATGAACTTCGAGTATGTTTAGAAAATTAGCAAACTTCACACTGTAATGAAACTGGATCTTTTTCTTTAAATAGTGGTGGAAATATCCTTTTTAAGTACATGAAATTTGGATGTTCTAATCTATAGTGCCACAACATAATATCATTATCATTATTTTTGGAAATAGGAACAGAGTTTTCACATACTGCATTGTAAACTTGTCTTTTAGAAGTGTTGACTTGAAGCAAATATAATCCCGAGCTCATCCTAGCACTGCCAATCGTCCTCCCCGAGTCCAAATCCTGGAAATTACACATATTACAAACAAATTTCGCAGCACATTTCAAATCTTCACATAGCTTGCTGATAGAAAATAAATTATAATCCAAATTCGAAACATGGAGAACTAAACAAAGAGTCAAATTTGGAGACAAATTTACAGCCCATTCCTGCCACTTTTGAGAAAGAACCATGTACAATTCTGATTGAAATATTTTCTTCACATCTTCTATAATTTTGGAACATTGAGTAATCGCCACTTATATGATCAGATGCTCCAGAATCTACCACCTACACCTGTCCTTTTTTCTAAAAGAGCAGATAAGCGATGAATATTACCTTTGTGTGCCATAGAGGCATTGACCGGGTGAGATTTCTTGGACAAGATTTGCTGGAGGGCTTCCAACTGTTCAAGGGTAAATGGGTCTTTTCCCATCTCATAAAAAATTACTTCATCTGCCGTCACGTGATTTCCTCGAAGCTTGCTGGAGGTCTCTGCTTTCGACATTTTCCACTCACCCGAAGGTGGTTTCCAGTCACTTGCCTTGCCGTGAAGCTTCCAACAACATTCCCAAGTGTGCCCTAGCTTCCGATAATGGTCGCACCAGGGCCTTGTCTTCTTTGTTCGACTGTCAATCGCTCGGGTTGTGAGAGCTGAAGAATTTTCAGTCTGGTGAGGTTGGTCATTCTCTCCCATCATGATCTTCCGACGACTCTCCTCGCGTCGAACTTCAGAAAATACTTCTCGAAGACTCGGCAAAGGTTTGGTGCTCAGAACACGTCCCCGAATCGCGTCGAGATTTTGTTTAGCCCTAATAGGAATTTAAAGAGTCACTTTTCTTCCACAAAGACTTTAAAGTTTTTCGCGTCCTCGGGGCAGTTCTAGTGACGCTCTTCGAAGGCATCCATCTGCTGCCAACTTCGACTAAGGATACTGTAATACTGGGTGACACTGAGTTCTCCTTGTCGAAGGTCATGAAGAGTTTACTCGATTTCGAATATTGCAGAGGTATTTTGCTTGGTGAAGTAGAGTTCATGTGCTGCATTCCAGATTTCGTGAGCAGTTTCGTAGAGAAGGAAATTCTCTCCGATTTTAGGAGTTATTGAGGTAATGAGCCAGGACATGACCATACTGTCTTTGATCTCCCAGGTTTGTGCATTTGCATCGGACGATGGAGGAGGCATGAGCTCGCCAATGAGGTGCTCATAACACCCCCATCCGCGGATGAAGAGACGGACAGACGACGACCATTTAAGGAAGTTGTTGCTATCGAGTTTATGTCCTGTGATACAGAATGATGGTAGTTCACTCACAGCTCTGGTTGTTGCTGTGTGATGATAAGAACCAGAGGAAACTTCTGGTGGAGAGGATGGAAGCTCACCCGAGGCCATTTTTGATTACGGCTTAGCAAGGTTTGATACCAATTTCTTTTTGGATCAAGTATGGCTCTGATACCATGAAGAAAATTGAGAGAAAAAAATATTCTTCCTCCTCTTGATGAATGATTTACACATATATATACAAGTCTACTACCCTAACAACCTAACAAATTCTGGAGAAAACCTAACAAAATTCTGTTTCTAAGGACAAATTTATTGCAACAAATTTATTGGTGATTCCCTCCATTTACAGCACATAACAGTTGTAAATGATTCCCTCCATTTGCAGCACATAACAGTTGTAAATAACTATTTTTAATCCTAATTTATTTTTTTAATTATTATATTTTCTACAAGGACAGTGAAAATTTGCCAGATTATCACTGATAAATGTCTCTCTCTTCAGACAACAAAAACCACATCACATGCTTCCCCCTCAGAAAAAAGTACAATAATGTAACTACTTTCATCCCTTTCCTTTTCCCTCTGGATAACCAATTAAGCAAATATTAACATTTACATCATCACCAATTACCCAAATATTAATATTTACATTTATCCAAAGTGTAGTACAAGCAGATTAGAGCCAGTACCTCAATGGGTTCAAGGTACCCTGCAGCTGCTGTGAAGCATTTCTCCAAAGGAGGCAGAAGTTCAAGAACATGAGCATTAGACAGTGCATTCCAGGCAGCAAGTCGCACAGGAGCCTCAACACAACGGTGCAAATAAACTGCAACTTGCCGACCATATACCAAATTGCCATAAGATACAGCACCATACTGCTCCACAAGAGTTTCTATAAATGTTGAGTAACTCTCATGAATCTCCGATTGAAACCTTAGGGACTCCATATTTTTGTTCTTACCACTTTCTACCGAAAATAAATTCACCTGTCGATCTAAAATGGGTTCTGAACTTTTACCCAACCTTCCTTCATCAAGAAATTGCCCATAGATCTCTTGCAAGGATTCATAGATATCACTACTTTTCTCCTCTTCAAGGACACCCATTCCAACTAGTAAGATAACAGACAAAGAATGCAACTTCCAAACTAAAGGCACACTGCGAATAGGAGAGGGAGCATCACCCGGTAAAAAGGTTGACATAGCTTCAATGCCTAGAAGGAAGAAAAGTCCACATTTGGCAACTTCAAGCACATCAGCAGAGTCTTGAAAGAGATTTTGTGAGCTAGAAGCACCCCCAGGATGGGAACTTTTATGATCAACAATGGTTGAGATGGGACTGAGAAACCAATGAATTGGAAGCGGAAGTCTCTGGTGAGCCCACTCAACTATCATATAACTGCAGGATTGATCTTTACTTGTCATATTTGGTGTTTCTACATCCTCATGTATGGTCTCCATAAAACCAACTCCACTCTTTGATGTTCCATCAGAAAGAAACTATTGCCATCCATAGTTTTGGATGTTGTCTTTACAGACAACCATCTTTTCCTAAAGTGGGAAGTTAATATGATATTGAATTGTATGTAATCTGTTTCTTTATATTCCCATGCAAACGATTTTATTCGCCGGTTAAGTTGGAGAAAACGCTGAACACAGAGATCAAGGTATTTCAAAGCAGGCACCTGAAGCAAAATATCCAAAGCCTTCTCGATAACAATCTTATCCCTTGGCCCAGCGGTTAAACACATTCCTAAAGCAGTATTTATTACCTCCATCATAAAGGGCAACTCTTCATCTCCCAGTTGTTCCCTAGCAGGAACTATCTGACAGATATTCACCAAGTGAGAAAGCAACCTTGCATCAGTTTGTGACAACAAAACAGATTTTGACCAAAATCCTCCGCCAGAGGCACCCCAGCCAATTCCCATCCCTGGAGAAGGCCCTCCTCTGCCAAACATTTCAATAGATTGCACCAAATGCCACTCTGATGCTACCAACTTCATAAAAGCATTCAACAGACATCTAAATTCTACCAGAGATCCCTTCAATATCCCAGACTCAAGGATAGATTCTTCTATTGAAGGATTAGATCCTTGGGAAGGAAAACTATGCATCCCAGCCTTGGCTAACTGTATCAGCTTATCAAGGGAAACAGCTACCCGTACTATTCCATGGAGACAACAGACAGAAGCTAACGATGATTCGTATTCACCCTGCAGCCTGAAACAACACAATTTTTCAGTAAAAGAGGAGCACCCAGCAAAATTTGCCCCATACTCACCTTCCCTGGAAACTGAGAAACTCAATAACCCATTTCTAATGATTTGAAGCCCAATTTTAGGAATAAACTCTGGCAACCATGGCAAATATCCTTCACTTTCATTCAGGCTGATGGTATCTTCTGGTTTCAGTTTGTCAAGAACTCTGGAAAGCATGTGAAAAACAGCTGAATATACCCACAAGAAGGAAGCGGTGGATAAGCCTCTGAAATCCAGGTTAACTTTTAGTCCACTTTCCCAGTCAAATAACCTAGATGCTAGTGATATCCATTTCATAGCCAAATCAACCATAGGACCTACAAAGCTCCAGGACCAGGACCCCATGTCATTACCAGTATGCTCTAATATCTGATTGCTACCAATCTTCTGCGAGTAAAAGTTTGGAAGTGTCCCAGCCAATGCCTCCAGAACTAGGTAAGCTTCCTTAGAGACACAAGCAAATTCAGAAATAACATTGTTCTCCACAAGCTTTTCAAATGTGGGTGGATTCAACCACAAGCACAATGCAGGAAATATATCGGAGAAGTTAAATATAGGATACTCAATCTGGACACAGACCTTCAAAAGTTGTAGTTGTTCCACCATTAATGACGAAGAAAGTTTGCACTTTTCTTTCCCCAACTTTATCCACTGCTCAATCGAGGAGGTGAACCGATATAAGTGCCATGTCATAGCTTCCAAAATTCCACCCTTCAAAAGCTCTTGGCAATTCTTCTTATCAGATAAAGCCAACACCTTTTTCACATGATAACACAAATTTGACTCGTTAAAGTTTAGAATAATTAAAAAATAAATGACTAATTGGAAACACAAGAATATTAATTTGTCTGTTTTTGCCGGGAAAAAATTCTCCATCCTCGTCACAACTAAGTGAAGCATATATGAAACAATTTGACTGTCCAAACATGTACAAAGGAATAATTACCTTCAATAGGCGAACAGATCTGATCTGAGATGAACAAATTTCTGCACTGCTATTCGCATTGAATCTATGAACAACCGTGTGAACAAGCCTTCGACATTTCATGATTGCACTTCCACAGGTGGGGGAATGCCTTGCTATTGCAACAAGCATAGAAATTAGGCATTCCTGCAAAGCTGCTGTTGGTTCTGTCTGTGATAATGAATTGAATGCATATCAGGAAACTAGAAAACCAAGTGACAATTGTTGAAAATGGCCAGTTGGGATAGGCAGTCAGAATGCAGGTACAGCACTTCGAAACAACATTTTTAAACTAAAAAAAACCATCAATTGTTTTCTTCTTCCACAATCTTACCACTTGCAAGCCCTCTATAAAGAAAGGATCACATTTATGAAATGCCATATTTATCTCCTAAAAACACAGAGGAAGGCATAGGCATCATTTAACAAGATCTTATAATATATGTTCACCCATAGGGTAATCTGCTATTCAGAAACCTAAGAATGCATTCAGATTTATATTTTATTCCACAATGCAAAAGATAGTAGTAAAGAAGTACATAGGTTAATGATGTTATCATAAAGAAGCAACTTTGTGGATAACCCTGCTTACCTCCAAAAGATAGCAAATTCTTGGGAGGACTCCCATTCTAACCAAGCCTGCAGCAACATCTTGCCCAGCAACAACAACATCATCCTGAACTGTATGCTTGCCTTCTGTTTCATCATCTACAGTATCCTCAGTAAAAGTAAGTATATTAGAAGGTTTTGTATTGTACTTCCAATATCCACCACGGAGGAAACCAACATCGATCTCTGGTTTACTTCGAAACACGGGGGCAGTAAAGCAATCCATTCCATGAATTGCTCCTCTCTGGAGGTAAAACTTTATATATAAAATATCAACACGTGACCATTGCTTATTGTTTCTAAGGAATGAAGGATAAAAGCTTACCTCTGAAATATCAAACACGTCCTCATTTAAATTGCAGGTCAGTATACAGTCGATCAATTTCGCACATGCTAGAACAACAGAGTTGTTGTTATCATCAAGACATATCCTAACACCAATAAACATTAATTTATTAACAAAATAATATCAAACTAAAGATCTAACAACCAAAACATGAAGGAAACAATAAATTAACAAGAACAAATACTTTTTCGAACAAAATTCAATTCATACTTGCTATAGCTTGCAAATTCCTAGGCACCAACATAGAGACAACAAAAGCAAGTTTACTCATGTAGGGATAGTATGAGAGACATTCATTAACGTCCATAAAAAATTCATTAACTCCAGAGACATTAAGTATAAAGGGAAAAAAGGATCATATTCATAAGTTGTCTTACAAGAAAAAGTTAAAACATGAGGCCACAGTTGACAACAACAATATAAACACAAATTTCAAAAGCCAGATAATCTCTCAATTTAGGAGAAGGTTGGCAAGATGAGTAACAGAAGCATTTAAAAGCATAAGCATTTCACCTTAATGCTAAGACGAGCTCAGGTTCTGGGCCAAGTGCATAAGCCCAAACAGCTACCCAGTCAACATCCTTTCCAACTTTATTATCATTATTTACGAATTCCCCAACTTGCTTTAGACAAATATTTTGTATAGCTTTACCAAGCACAGTCCGAAGGAGATGTAATGCCAGGGCCCTTTGTCCTGGAACCTGAAATCAATAAAATTTATTATTAGAAAGGAGACAATAAACACATGGTAAAGAATGAAAATTACAAAGATATATCCCTTTAGCCAGTTCTAATTGCAAAATACTTCTTATTTTGACAATTACAGAAATATCTTTATTTATAATGAATGACAAATGGTGTTAAATTAGTAATATAAAAAGTGACCTAAAACTTGTCTAGAAAACAAAATTTTCCCTCATTCAATGCATGGGAACATATTCTCTCTTGTCCCTCCTCTCTGGCATATTGTCTCTTTTCCTTCCCCCATGTTAACATCTTTCTCTTTATGGCAAAATCAAACTCTCTCACGGAAACTTTAGCTTCAAAGTTTCCTAAATTCACACCCAAGATTAGAGGTCAGTATTGTAATGCCCTGATTTCATATTGGAAAGATGTATAAGACGTAATTGTTAAGCTTTATGAAAGAGTTCAAATCAATTATTGCCAACTATTTAAGCCAGAAGTCTCAGAAGATACTTGTTTGGGATTGAAAAGTTGTAGGCTAATGGTACTTGCACACAAGGCTTTTCCAAGAGACATCAAAGCCTGGTTTCATTAATGTTTATGCTATACGGAGAGATTTAGTTTCAGATAGAAGCTAAACATTGGGAAGTTATTACAATTAATTTATTTTCCTTTATATGCATGCAATGAATGTATTTATGTTACATCTTTCTATTATTTCAAAAAAAAAAAATGTTACATCTTTCCATGTCTACTTATGCTCATGTGTGCTTTGAACTTACACCTCCTTATTCATGGGTGCCACCTCACTAGTTCCCAAAAACAATTTGTTTTGTTTTTAGAGTATATATAATATGTTGGCCTCTAGATGATATAATTTTTTAAAAAAAATAAAAAGTATAAAGAATTAGATTTCTATGAGCACTAAGGAGGTGTCAACCCATGTACAAAAGTTTTTACAAATCTGTCAATTTATAATAAGGTTCTCTAAATTCTCCATTGACTATGGGGAATGACTCACTAGCAAAAAACCAAGGGTTTAGAATCATCTGTTATTGAGAACATTGAACCCATTCACATCATTCACCCCATCAAACGCCTTCTTGTTCATCTCCTTCCACACAGTCCAAAAAATAGTAAGTGGCATCACATTTGCACATTTACTCCTACTCCTGATGCCCTTCCACACCCACATCTTTTTTCTCATCAAGCCTGCCATCATCTAACTAATACCTAACAACCCATAAACCACGGCTCATAACTTGTACACCGCCAGACACCATGACAACACATAGTTGCAGCTCTCTTCAGCCCCCTTACATAAGTAACAAGCATTCACCAAAACCTTACCCCTTCTCTTTTTTTTTTTTTTTTCGGAAATAAAATATCATTAACCCTTACCCCTTCTCCTTTAGCTTGTCTATAGTTAAGATACATTTTCTGCTA